TCCATACATCTTCCCGTCGGGAGTTAATGCGAAATTATGTTGCAGGTAATTTTGGGAAGGTATATCTGGCTGATGGAAAAGCTCTAGACGTGGTGGGGATGGGTGACGTTGATATTGCACTCCCTAACAATAGCAAATAGACTTTGCAAAAGGTCAGACACGTTCCTGAGTTGAAGAAAAACCTCGTCTTTGTTGAGCAGCTCAATGAGGGTGATCATTCGGTAGTGTTCTCAGATAACACCTGGAAGGTTACCAAAGGAGCACTAGTGCTGGCTCCTAGTACTGGCTCAGGGTAAGAAATCTGACACACTATATATGACTACAGGTTTACTCAGGCGAGGACGGTGAGGACACATGAGTCAGAGGTGTATTATGGTGAAACAGAAAAAAGGTCAATTTCTTGAAGTGGTAGACCACCAAAGGCAGGAAAACTGAACTTATTACAGACAAATGGTAGAAAACCACAGAGCTATGAAGAAATCTTGCAAGATGAGAATTCGAGCAAGTGGGAGCTGACCAAGAAGGAGGAGACAGATTTCCTACCAGGGAATCAGACTTAGGAGCTTACAGAACTTCTACCAAGGAAGAAGACATTGCACAACAAGTGGTTGTAATGAGTGAATACTGCACTTGGTGACAGTAAGAGGTACAATGTTGGACTTATTGAAAAGGGCTTTCAGCAGGGGCAGGATATTGCTCATGCAGTGGGAGTTGTAAGCAGATACAGGAGTAACCTAGGAAAGAGTTTGGTTTGGCGGTGATATGTCAACTGAGGGTGTTACTCGTGAGAAGCTGAAGTTGTGTTCAACTTCAGCTGGTCTTCTGACATGAAAACATGGATTTTGAGTTGCAAAGGTGGAGGATATTATGTTTGAGGAAAAGATCGGTACAGCTAGTAGATGATGCAGCCAGTAAATGATGCATTCAGTGTCTCAGTCTCCAAGTGGGATAATTGTTGGGTAATGTGGAGACTCGGTCCACCGAATTTAATTAGGTTCCTAATTAAGTATCCCACCTACCGCTCACATACCCCATCCCACCTACCGCTCACCTACCTCCCACCTACTGCTCTCATGGTTTTCATAAATAGTCTCTTTTGATTTAGGATATGTTTGGCGCAGCTGTTGATTATTTATAATCTGCTGATAAATAGATTATTCTGATAATCTGATAATCTGCAGATTATCAGAATAATCTGGTCTGCTGTTTGGGACAGCTTATTCATATTAGCTTATTGGTGGTTAAATGACATTTCTGCCCCCGTCTGCTAAAACTGTTTGGGACAGCTTATTCAAAATAACTTATTGGTAGTGCAAAAGCATACAATCATCACAGATCAGTTCCAAAAGATAATATACAGTTATCACATTCTCGTAAGTACCAAAAGAAATAAAAAAAGTACAAAAACAAGTACAACTACAATGAGAAATATTAAAATATTTAATTTGAAACTCTGGCTATGTCTCTCATCATCTGCACTATCAACCTCGGAAAACATCGCATTCACATGACTGCTGGAAGTGTAATATGTGGGACTGTCAGCCCACCAGAAGAAACCGCAACAAGCTGAAACACTCTTGGCACAACCGTAGAACTGCCTCCCAAAGCTACTTGACGTGAGCAACGGAAACGGTAGTCCACAATAACACAAAATACTTCTGTCTGTAACTGATATCCAAGAAGTCATGTGTGTATGACTGCGAAAAAAACAGAAAAAAAACAAATTTCAGATCAAGATATTTCAACGAAAACCAAAATTATAAGCATATGAATATAAACCTATAATCTTATTAAAGAAAAAATTGATAGACTCCCTTAAAGCAATCATATCAGTCAAACATTCACCATCATGATCTCCAAAATCATTAGAGTCTACATCATCCTCTAGTAATGAATTCCCACCCACAATTCCAAGAGTTTGCTCGAAGACATTCCGTTCATCATTGTCAGTCATACTAAAGTCTGTATCTGATCGTGAGGAATGTCTTCGGATGAAGTTATGTAGTGTCATTGTTGCAACCACAATATTCACTTACTTTTGGAAAGGATACGACGGCATATCACGTAGGATGACTCATTTCTTCTTCCAAACCCTAAATGTTCTTTCAATTACCCCGCGTAAAGATGAGTGACGTTTATTAAACATTTGTTTTCTATTACGGACGGTGTCACTTGCTCTCTCAAAATCAGGAAGATGATATTGTGTGTCAGGATAGGGCTTCAGGTATCCCCTTTGCATAGGATATCTGACATCAACCAGATAATATTTTCCTGGTACGAAAAACACTGCTAATTAAAAAGATTACCTGCTCAGATAAACAAATTGCTCCGGTTAATGCTATACACTTCTTCATCGGGTGTCAATGGCTCAGGTGTTATTTCATCTGGTATCCCTGTAAAACCGCTTTCAGTAGGGTTGAATGAAAATTTTCCCGTTGCGACAACCCATTTACGACAACCCATTTAAACATTATGTCATTTAAACATTATGTTTAGTTTCTCTTCAAATTCCGGCTCTATTCCACAGTGTTTATACTTCTTCACTGTCGGTACCGCCTGTGATATAGCATTTAGAGGGGATAGTTAGAAAATTATAATTAGAGAAAACAACGTGCGAAGCTAACAACTCATGGATTATATAGAAATTTACCACTAATTTTTCAGCCCACCATTAAGCTAGATCATCAATTGTCATTTTAATCGGATCCCAACCGAGCCCGGTAGATCCACGTTTCAACTTCTTCCATATTTTTCATTCATTCTTCAATTGGTCTCATTTGTTTTTAAATTTAAGTCGGTCGTAATCTCTGTCAGTCAATTTTTTGAATCTCTTAGCAATGTTTTATCACCTTATTAAAATACGTTGTTGGTCTGTTCTCCAATTTTATTTCTTTAATACACAAATCGCAAAAAATATTTGTAACGTCTTTATCCCACATTGCGGACGGACCCCCTTCAACCGTTTTAGACATGATGTAACTATAGGCAACAAGTGAGAATAAAAACTTTTTAAATTTGAATCTCAATAGAATTGTTGAAAAAATAATTGCATAAGCCAACAACAACACAAGAAAACAACAACAACAACCCAACAACAACAACAGTCTCCAAATAATCACATTCACTCGGCTTTTGAAAGATTTGCCACCAATACAAACAACATTCTAGCTATTTGCTTAGAATATATATATATATATATATAAGGAAAAGAGCTAAGCTATAGCTCCTTACATGTTAATGTGAAAGTAGGATTACAAAATGAGTGAGAAGATCACTCAAACCACACCCTTCCCATCTATCTAACTTAGATCATACAATGAAGTATACAAAAAATGTGGGAAACATCTATGATTGACACAAAAGTAGAGCTATTGTGAATGTAAAAAATCAATCCCTATAATTGGCCAATGGGAGTGGGACAACTCAGATGGGTAAATTGGGTGAGGATCATTTGAACCTATATAGCAGGCCTCATAACTCATAAAGCAGACATTTGAACAAAACGAAATTCACAGCATTCCCTCAAATGCTACAAAAGGCCAACAATGATCCTTAACACAACTAATGTCATAGATCAAACTGCACCATAAATTCACAGCATTTCCTTGTTGTAGGGATTAACAGCATTTCCACTGAGGCAAACCACACCAAGTCAACTAATGTCATAGATCAAATCGCACCAAGACAACTAATATCATAGGGATTAACGACATTTCCACTGAGGAAAACCACTGTATAGCCAAATCAAGACTCCCTTATGTCAAATTACTCCATAACAGAAAGTCAGTGTATAATTTGCCACCACACGCACAGCTAAATCAAATCCAGGATCGCCAAAACCACAAAACAGATGCCCAAAACCAAATCCAGAATCGCAGCTAGCAACCCAAATCCAACAACTAGTTAAAATGTTAAAATATCGGGGAATAGAAAATGAAACATATCTCAACAGGCATAAAACCGAAAATCAAAGAATATGCCAGAAGCCATAGGATCTCCAAAACAACTCTCAAGAGGCATAAAACCAAAAAATCAGAGAAAACTTCAGAAGCCACAAGATCCCCAAAACAACTTTCAACATGTGTAAAACCAAAAAATCAGAGAAAATGCTAGAAGCCACAGGATCCCCAAAACAACTAATGTCATAGATCTAAACTGGACAACACCTAAAAACCATTAATCTCATCATATTTCCCCTAAAAAAGATAAAAATTTTCATTTCATGCATCAACATTGCTCAGAGAGAAGATCAGAGAAGAAAGCATCCCACGGCTCACAGCTAGGGTAATCAAAAGGATACCTGATGATCAGGAACGAAAATTTCGAAAGGAAGAAGGTTCGATCTTCTCTAGGGCGACGAACCAGAAAGGAAACCAGCGAGGGAGGAGGCAAGGGAGATCGAGGGCACCTCCGAAATTCCTAGGGCAACGCGGATGGCTAACGCGGGACGTGAAGCTCGGACAGCGTTGAAGGAGTAAAAGAATTTAACCAATGCAACGTAGTGCGGGAGAGAAACGCCAGTGCAAACGTGTTAAACAAACAGGAGGCGGCGTTTTCAAAACGTCGCCGCTCCCAATAAGCTGCCCCAAATGGGACCTTAAAGAAAAAGTCAAGCCAAGCCAAGCCAAGCAAATCCAAGCGAAGTCAAGCAAGACCAAGTCAAGTCCTCTTGAGAGCTAAGAGAAAAAAGACGAAGAGAAAAAGAGGAAGGGAGAGAAGAAAATAGAGATTTTCTTGTAAAAGTTGAGGCGCTCGACGGTGTAATTCCTCGAAAAAATAAAATTCTCTACATCTTCGTGGATGTATGCAAATTTGTTGAACGACGTAAATCCGTGTGTCGCTCTGTTATTTTTTCTGCGTGCAATTTTTCTCGTTCTAATTTTTCACTCTATTGTCGTTGTTTTTCATAACACAAACCTCCATGAAAATAATAATAATAATTGCGGAATTCAAAAGGGTGCAAACTAGATTCTTGCAAATATGAAATAAACGAAAGCACATATAAACAATAAACAACAATAATAAAGGCAGAAATAAAACAAAGGAAATAACACAACCTCTCTAGATGGGCGACAAGTCTAGCGGACAGGAGGTGAGCGTCAAGTGTGCTGGCACTTGGTGGCTGCGGTTCTGGAGCTAGAAAACCAGCGGCTGGAAGTCAGGTCGGCGGGTAGGAGGGATCGTCGATAGTTTGGACAAAAGCCGGAAGGAGGATGGCGTGGTTTGGACAACAACCTGAAGAGAGATGGTCTGATCTGGACAGCAGCAGGGATCTGCAGAAGGATAAATGTCTTGTCGGAGTCGAACTATAGCAAGATCACCACACAAACCCTTAGAGATGGTCACCACCTCGGATGAGTTACCGTCGAAGTACCTTTTCGTTGTCGAGTACAGCCCTTTGAGGGGGAAGAACGGGGAAGTGGCTGCAACTAGGCGGCAACAAGCAAGATTTGGTGGTTGTGGAAGACAACAGACAACAAATATGGCGATAGCGGTAGGAGAAGGGAGGTTGCAGAGGAAGAGGATCGTCGAGGATAATCACCACCTCGGTGCGAGATACAGTAGGAGCACCACTCATCCTTGAATACAACCCTGAAAAGGGAAGAGAAGACGCCAACGGCTGTCCCTGATAGAAAGCTAAAATCAAACTCACAAAAACATAACCCAAATTCAGCAAACACACATATAAATAGAGATGGAATAGGCGAGAAACAAAAATAGGAAGAGGGGGAATAATTCTCGTCCTATGAAAAGGAGAGGGGGCTGGTCCAGCCTCCTGCTAGACTGAACCGGTTGGAGCCGATTCAGCCCCCAAGCCCCGCGTCACGTAGAAGAATGAATTTTTTTTTTACTGCCTATTTTGATTATTCGTCATCTTACATACCTCTAACCTGAATGATCTGGCAAATAAACATCAAATGTGTATACCCAATATCACTTGGGCTAAGTTAGATAGACTTACTAATTAAAATAAGTCTAGCCATGCTAATCAAAATAAGCCTAGTTCAAGGCAAGTTATCCAGCTAAAGGGGATTAATTCATCACAAAGAAAGTTAACAATGTATAGAAAGATATCGCCAGCGAGTTCAAGTTGGTAGCCCTTGAATGAAGCCACCGAAAACTTCTTCATAACTTGCCACTTTTAAGAGAGAGCAGGGACTTCACTTGAACTTACTAATTTTTACAACATGTACCCGTTAAAATTTGCTAATGTAATTTTACTAAAATGTAATCTTCCTTGTAGTACTATTCCTCAACCCAACCTTATAAATAGGTGAGGTGGGACTAAAATATTAAATTATTTTGCATTCGTTTTGTATTTCATAAAAACATTGTGAAATCTCAAAGCTGCTCTTTGTAAGCTATCTTACTCAATGATCTTTTTTCTCTCTGGCTTGATCCATTCTCATTACTAAAGTTTTGTTGTCACCCATGAACCAAAATGGCTTACTTTTCTTATGGTGTTGTCCGCAAATAAAAATTTAGGCCCCATAACAAATCAAATAACTACAATTTTTAAGACAATTCAGCGAACTACTTGAGTCTGTTATAACTGTGGGGTTTACATCTGAGTTTCCATCTTAAACGATCATTTAGAAGAGGACAAATCTTCTGTTGATTAAGTGCACACCACAAACATGTAAGCACCCTTCTTTTCGCAGTTACATACATACCACACAATTCTTATGAATTTACATATCTAACACCTGATTTTTACTTTTTACATTTCTAACAGTGAAATCTTTCTTGCCACATCAAAATATTACTATCATTAACTTTTAAAAAGTGAAATACAACTTTTTGATGTATAGGTAAAGTGGTATTCATGTAAATATCATATTTTGTCTTAAATACATAAATGCATAAGAATTGTTTGGCATGTATGTAAATCTTCCTAGGAAAAAAAACCTGCCTTTGGCACGTATGCTTTAGTTTGGCAAAACTTTATGAATAACTTCAAACCATGTTTATTTAATACCACCGCACTTCCTGCCCAGTTCGTTGCCCAATTGAAAGCCCTCAGGCCAGCATTTCCCCAATTTAATACTAAACATATTCATAACACCTTATACCATAGATATATGCAAGCATTTTTTAAACTGTGGTATTTACGAGATTATAGATCAAGCAAATTTCAGAGAATGTGTAAAATGATGATTAGTACACTCATATGCTAAAAAACCCATAGCAGATTTCTGCCATATTACATGTTAACCCAAGTCAAGAGCAATGGATTGCGAATAAACAACTTACATAGAATAAATAGACAAATAATAATTTTAGCATACTGGTACAAGATGATCTCCCCAATATCATAGTTAATTGTGTGGCACTAGGAGGAATCACATATCCAACTTATACTCATAAAATTGAAAATTGGAAGAGAGGAATGTTATCGAAGCTAAAAATTATGAGTAACGCGCCTTAGAAGTAAGCATGTCAAACAGAATTGATCTTTACTATAAACCGACTAAAATGGTAAACAGACTAATCTATAAATCCAAAAAACTAACCCAATTATAAAGCCAATCCAATTATAGCAAAGTGGGCCATTCCTTGTATATTGATCGCCTACGTCGTTTCAACCAAACACTTCTGTTGGCTCAACCGATCGCCGCCCCGGCCCGATCGACCATTCCTTGTCGATCGACCGCCTACGCCTGTTCGATTGGCTCAACTAACCAGGCGCCACTGCCTCGATCGCCTCGACTGATCAGCCGCCACTGTCCCGATCGCCTTGATCGACTGTTCTTCATCGATCGACCGCCCCAGCCTGATCGACCGTTCCTCATTTATCAAATTGACCCTTTTCGTCAGCTTATTCAATCGGCTGTCACCGACCTGATTGCCTCAATTGATCATTCTTCATTGATCGCCCCCTCCCTCAACCCGATCAACCATCCCTCGTGGGTCGACAGCCAATGCTGGTCCGATCGACAATTTTCCATCGCTTCGACCGATCTGCTGCAGCAGACTCGATCGATTTGATCGACAGTTTCATCGTTGAAAACCTTACTTAGCTTATTTGGAGCTTCTCGTGCTCAAAGGAATCTGTCGAACCTTCCTATGAGCGTTTCCAGGAAGATTAGGATATAAAATGTTGTACCCGCGCGGTAATTCGGGGAGCCCGTTGGCGCCGAAATCTTTCGTATAATGCCATAAAAAAACTTATCTTTGAAGTTGTGAGATTATATTTTAGTCATATTTAGTAATCCTTGCCTGAAAAAGAAAAAGAAAAAAAAAAAAGAGGAAAGAAAAAGAATAGAAAAAAAGAAAAAAAATTGTAATGGAGGAGAAGCTTAAAGATTAGTGTCTAATCAAAAATTGGTTCCACATTTGATCTTTTTAAAGTATAAGACATGAGAAACTCTTAAACTTAAGGATATAATATAGTAAGTAAAATTATTCTTAATAAAAATTTTTAAGTGGAGATAATAAAATGACTAAATTTTAAATTTGGAGAATCTAGAATATTTCTGAAATAGATATTTCTGAAATAGATAGGAACTCATATTTTTATCTTTCTTAACATTAAAATTCTTTAAACTTTAAATTGGTCTCATGTACTAATTATTTTTTCTAAATTGGACTACTATCTTTTTAAATCTAAATTTTAGTAACTCCTAAAAAAACTCATATACATATCATACTTATTTAATTTTTAAAGATTAAAGTGTCACTTGAGGACAAGTAACATTTTAAGTTTGGGGGATTTTGATACACCTAAAATATATAGTGTTTTTAGACACATTATTATACTTATTTTTGATATATTGCGATTTAATGAAAGTTATTTGTGTGTTTTTCTTCCAGGTACAAGTAAAAAGATGAAAAATACTAAAATGAGTGAAAAATGATCAAATTTGGAACAAAGATATGAAAATTGTGCTAAAGTGTTTTGGCGCCTAGGCGTCAGATCCGGCGCTTAGGCGTCGGTTAAACAGAGAAAGTCGCGCCTAAGCGTTAGAGGCAGTTATTTAACAGTTTTCTTCATTTGGTTGAATTTTAAAGAAGTATTTGAGGGACTTATTGGCTTAAGAGGGTGGTTATGACGACTAAGAACGAAAATATTATTAAAATACTTGTAAAAAAATGCATTCTTTGGAAGATTCATCGAATGTGGACAAATTTTGAAGAGTTTTCAAGAAATCTTTTGGAGATTTATAAAAGAAATAAGTTTTTACATTTGAAGTGGGTGTCTGAAGAGGGAGAGATGTTGAGTCTTGAGAAGATCGTGGAGAATCTTGTGGAGAGATTCAGGCACTACAAAAATTTACTTTATCCTTTTTGTTTTTAGTTTATTTTGAGAGTGTTGTAAAAGAGAAGAGATTCAAAGGAACTTCAAGAGTTTGGTGGAGGATTTGAGATAAATTTTTATCTTTTCTTTTAAACTACTTTTGATTTTAATTGAGACTTCTTGTTGGTTTGACAATGATTTCTAAAGTGTGGTTTTGTTTTCTCCATGAATTTTGAGTAATTTTTTTTATCTTTCTCCTTAAAATGATAAGTAATTAAAGTTTAGATGAAAGTTGTGGAGAGTATTGATCTTTAATGTTGGAAGAAGTTGTGACAATTTAAATCCATGAACTTCATTTACTTCTTAATTTGGTTAATCCAGATGTTAAAATTTGTTGCGAGAATATGTAAGAACTGGGCTAGTATTGTCTCAGTCAACAATTAGAAAAAATCACATGAGGTTGTACGAATGAGAATGTAATTCATATGATTTAGTACGAATAAATAGGGAAATAATCATTTAAGGGTGTAGAGTTAGAGGACTTTAAAGTGACAGGTTAAAGCCTCCAACTTGATTTATTGTTTTAGGTTCTGATACGAGATGTTAGCCACCAGGTGGAGGGAATCGAGGAAATTCTAGAGTGAGAGCTGATATCTTCTCTACCTAGCTGGTCTTCAGAACTATTCAAACTTTACATTAGTCAATGTTCTTTATCGCATCTCTAGTAAGAGTAAAGAATATAATTGCTCATATTTGGCACAACACAATTTGCATACTTCCACAACATAATTTCTATATTTACTACTGATTCAAGATAAGGAGAAAAATATTTTTCAATTTTAGTACTTTTCTTTTACATAAACTAAAGTTATCTTTTTAAATTGTCATTGTTTGTCAATATATCAAAAATAGCAAAAAGATTTAAATTTTAATATTGCAAAAATATTTGTAGTTTAAGTAATTGCATTTTTAGAATAGAAAGTTATTCAAAAGTGCATATTGTGTATTCTCTTTGTGGGTTCGATATTCAGGCCTTAATCAAAAAGTCGTATATTACTTGAGTATATTACTTGATAATGATTCCTATATTACTTGATAACGATACATATACTTGCATAGTATCCCAATATATGTAAATTAAAAAGTTAAAATCTTATTTTCTTCAGGATCAAGTTTTTGGCACTGTTGTAAAACAAGGAAATATAAGTGAAAACTATAATTAAAGTCATTGTTATAATGTTGCATATAAACAGTTTCGGGATCAGTTATCACTTAGACTCTTTAATGACCTAATATTTTAACTTTTTTTACAAAAATTTAATGAAAAAAATTTGAAATTAATTAAAATTTAGGTTTAAAACGTCTCAACTTTTTCAAAATCAGTATTTATTTTTCTGCATGGCCTCCGGGTCGGCTTTAAAATAGATTTACATTGCATGATCATCCCTCAAGTCATAATTATAGAGCCTCAGTGTTTAGAACTTATTAGACAACTACATCATACTTGCATGTCCTCATGAGAAGTCCTCGTGATTCTCCAACCCGACTTACCCAGCATAAAATTTATACTTAAATGATTGTCTATTGCATTTAGGGTGTTAGAGGTTTCCCTAACCCAAACGAAAAGTAAGTCATTTGTTGAAAGTGTTTTTAGCTTTGTAGCTAGAACTCTCCTCTTTTTTCACTCTAGCATCATCCTCGCCACTTTGGCGAGTATAAGTCTCACCTCTGCAGTTTTTACCTATAAAGGGTCATAGGATTTAGAGTTATTTACGTTGACCTTAGAGCTTCTGAGGTCCCCTTGAATGACGCAATTCATGATATGCTGACAAGGGACATCCGGTTATGTTGGGTCGACTACATTCACGACCAGATAGAATTGAAGTCTTAATAGCTTGGGATGACGGATCCGTAGTTATTTTTCCCTTTCTTTGCTCACCCACTTCCTCTTGACGTTTTGTTGATGTCGTCTTGTAGGCTCTGATTACTGATAAGTCGCTGCTCATTTGGGATACGGTGATTTACCATCTACCCCCAGTTAGGCCTTGAAAGCATAGTGTGTACCCTATGAGCCGACATAGTTATTTCATAGGCCTCGATTGCCGATGGACGTGAAAGACTCACTCACTGCCTTATGGTTTAGCAAGAGCTCTTAAAGCGTTGAAACGCTCTTGTGAGATAGCCAACTTTTGTGACACTTTTTACTAATCGTCACTTGAATTTAAGCAAGACTCTTCTTATCAAGAGTATTTTTGGGCATCCCAAATATGTAATAAACCAATGAGATGCGTTCATTTGGGAGATGTTATTGACCCCAGAACAAGCACACACATTTGACTCTTTGGCTCTTGGTTGCTTTCTTAAGGTTTTCTTCGCGAATATGTTCCAAGGCATTTTTGGTTTGAACTTGTTTGGACGTACATTTTTGGGCTATAATGCGAGGTTTATCTTACGAAAGTTCTCCACATTATTTCTCTTGTCTGTCTATCTTCGTCGTATATCACGTTTTTTTGTTTCATCACTTATTTAGATTATTCATATGATACGAAAGAGAGATTTACTTGGAAAAGTGAATCATACGACGATAAACAAGCTGACAACTCATAAAAAAAAAAAAAAAAAATGAAAACATATGTTAATTAAGGAATCCAAGTATCACGCTACTTTACTGTTGTGCTAAAAGATGAATTACTTTGATTCCCTCATATATATTGTAATACATAAAAGTAAATTTTTAAACTATCATATAAAAAGAATTATATATAATTTTTTTAAATTTTATACAGATAAAAGAACAGTTTTAATAAATTTATTTGATTTGTTAAAGTAAAAACAAAAATAAACAAGCATTGCCTGCAATTTTTCATGACTTACGAATATAATATTGTTATTATAATAGAAAGAGAAATCATTTAATAAAATAAACTTTTTTTATGTTGATGACATTAACTACATTTAAAGGAAATGAAAATTTCACATCTCTAAAGAAAATTTATGATTACATACAATTTTAATTAAAATGTTGAAATTTGAATAGACATACGTACATGCCTTGGGGTTATCAATAACAAAAAGGACTTCAAAAATCATGAATCAAACTCAAAATTCTCGGAAATTAAATGTTCAACAATTAGTAGCTTAAAATGAAGAAAATATCTACATGATTTCTAGTAATTTAAATAACATCAAATAATCTACAAATGTAACAATAATTATATAAAAAAATATAATTAGAATAATAACACAAATGTACTCTATTTATGCATCAAATTACATAATTCCCCTCCATAACCAATAAATTTTTTATTTATTCCCACAAATTTATTATTTCCTTAGCATCTTCTTATCACGTGCCATAATGTCCACTACAACTTCATTAACATCTGACAATGATTACTCAATTCAATAATTATGTGCCAGGAGAAATACATATATTGATCTGTATCACAAATAATGAATTAAGAGTCATTTTGAAAGAAATGATGGCGTATATAGTTATGTAGTGTCATCATAGCATACAGTCTCTTTACTTCTTAAAAGAATGTGTTAGCATATCATGCAAAATAATTCACTTCTTCCATTCACTAAAATACCTCTCAGTCACAGGACATAACGAAGAGCATTATTTATTAAAAAATTTCTATCTTCCATGCATAGATTGACTAGTTCTTTCAAAATAAAGAATATAGTATTTTGTATCAAGAAATGTCTTTAGAAACCATCAACATATAGGTTATCTAGCACCCATAAAATAATAAATTTATTTTTAGAAGTGAAAGCCAATTATTTCAAATAACAAAATATTATTAGTATTTTCAATATCAACAAAGTCATCATAGAATGTTTCATAATAAATTTTGCATGTCAAAACTAATTATTGTGGATCTCTTACATGGCTTAAAAAATAAATATGACCACTATAGTTCATCTAGAACTACACTAAGAAAAATATTAGACTTCACCTTATACATTATATATCATAATAAATTTGTAATAGTGATATGTGAGCAATTTGAATATTCAAATGAAACTATAAGTACTTCTCTATTAGATTGAAATCTTCATTAGTTTATCTACAAAATTTGTGAAGCTCCTACATTCTGAGTTTTAAAATAAGCCAAAAAGGATACTTTCAGATATCATTATATGTCATATTTTAAGGTATCCATTATAATTTTATTTTATCACGTATAAAAAATTATTAAATAACTAACCAAATCTTCTTAATCAAAATTGCATTAGAGCAATCAATAAAACATATATAGATGCTTGCAGTTCAAATAACAAAAAATGGTATATATTAAACAACATGGATCATTAAGATATGATCTTGTCGTAGATACTCTTATCATGTCAGCATAGAAAAGTAATACATGTAATAGACTTATCTTCAAATTCTTTACTTATAATAGAAAGGATAACCTCCATATACAACCTCAATGTTAGTTATTGATGATGAAAATATTAACAATATTTTGTTATTCAAATATATGGCATTTACTCAAACAAAAAAAATTATCTTGTGAATGTTAGATATTATATACAATGATTTATAATCATTTCTAGATACAAAATATAATATTCCTAATTTTAAGACAATCGGTCAATTAGTGTATGCGACATATTTTTTTATTTAAAAGGGAAGCTCTTCATTACATTATATAATTAAGATGACCTTCAACTTGATTATCTTATGTGCATGCCAACATATTTTTTTAAAAAGAAAATAAATATGTGACTTTCATGATGACATTACATGACTATATACATCGTCATGCCTCTCAAGATGACCCACAATTCAATGTTGGTGATAAATATCAATCATACATACCAGCTAAAGAGTATAACAATTTAATTGAGAAATTAATGTTAGATCTTGAAGAATTTGAAGTATACTGCGAGGCACAAAATGAAAATGGTGCTGAGAAAATGATAAATTTATAAAAAAAATGTCCCAAATGTAATGGTTTATGTGAGAAATTGGATTGTTTGATATATGTAAGCCTATTATATTTGTTTTATTATTCAAATTATAGTTTTGATGTAATTATGATAGCTCGTGTAAACTCTTTAAATATTATTAAAATTATTGATTTTTTTTTTTTCATTGTAAGCATTGATTGATGAATAGCTAACTCCTAAGGATTTTAAGTTTGATTCCTGATTTACCAAACTTTTCATATTGTTCGCAGCCTTAAGAGATGTATACTCATTTAGACACTTTGATTAATGATTGAATATGATTATGAAAGTTCTTTTTGAGATATGAAATTTTATTTAATTTAAAATATTTAATTATATCAATATTAACAATAGTTTTATTCAATATCTTCTTCTTTTATAATAACAGCATACCAACACTAAGTCATAGAATTATATGTGATATTTATTTATTTTATTTTTATATTTAAAAAATTAAATAAATTTGAATTAAATTTATTAAAATGGCTATCTATAGTTTAATATTTTATAAAAAAAACTATGTGTGCGCTTCATTTTATTTGACATTTCAATAACCAAATTTATGCATATATGAGGGCATTAATAGAATTTGACCTTTTATGGTTACAATAAAATGGTTTAACTGCTGAATTTTTCAATCAACAGATATTGTTTTAACAACAGAAACTTAAAAAAAGAATTTATGCAGCAGCTTCACAATTAGGATGCAAAAAAAAAAACAATGAACATGACAATAATATAATTGTGTCAATGAACATGACAATAATATAATTGTGTTTCGTAAAGTAATGCGGCAAAAAAGCTGTTCAAAACTCATCCAAAGAAGAAAACAACTTCATAAACTTCCACCACAAAAAAGAAACAAAGAAGGAACAAACCAGGCTTCAAAATCTTTTTCTGCACTCACCGACGAAGCACGTTCATCCACATATCGGAATCAAAGAATGGCTGGGAGCAGAGCAGCCTTCAAAGACATCCTTCGTCTAGTTCACCTGTCCCAGCCGGCCTTCCAATATAAAGGTTCAGTTCGTCGATCGCAGCAGTCCAACTAATTTTAGACTGCTAAGACTTAACGCAGCTAAAAAATTTCAAAACTGCTCTGATTTTATGGTTAGGCCATCCAAATGAATATTGTCAATGAGCGAAACACAGAGTTACCGCATAGAGTGTCAATGACGCCGAATTCGTTTCGAATATCTTGTTAATGACCCTCGTCCTGCCACAATGCTAGCAGGGAGCGGACGGCGCGGTGTACGGGATCCCGCGAATCACATTGCAATTACTTCTTTCTGATTCTAGTTCTTATGCTTCGCTCCGACTCCTGATCAGCATATCTCTAAAACGAGGAGGGCTTGGTAAAGTTGCTAGGGTTCCAATCCTTTACGATCGCCCGCATTCAGGTAGCGAGACTAGAGGAAAACAGATCGTTGGTGTATAAGAAGCACCCATTGGATACGAAAAAAACAGCGGTGTATTTGAAGAGATGCAATGGTGTATAAGAAGCACTCATTGGATACGTCGGAGGAAGCATCGTCGTCAGGTGGGAGATGGCTCATAAATCTCGACAAGCGGGAGCGAAAGAGATGCAAGCTCCGAGAGGAAGAGGGAAAATATTTGCGTACCACAGAACACATGCGCAGCTCTCTAATTCGGGAAAAATTATTGGATAGGGACGCCATCTACACCTTAGACCTTAGATCAGGATAATAGGATATATTCCTAAGGGTTTTACTTTAAATTTTTTTTATTTTTTTTAAACAAAATAAATTACATTGTATCATCATCACTGTAGATCACCGTGATCTACGGTATAGATCGGACACCGCATACATCTCTATATGTGGTTTACGTATGTAATATTTTTTCTTAAATCGGGGGTTTATATTGACAAACCTACAAATAAATTGAAAGCACTTACAAGTAAGTTATAGGGAGATTACAGGGGTATAAGACGGATATAACCCTCTTCGTACCCTCTAATAACCTCCGTCATACACCGCGTTATGTACTTTTTACGTAAACAAATATTTTCCGATGAAGAGAAGGGCAACAGTGCTCTAGGGAGAGGGAAAAATTTGCGTACGTAACAAGTACGAAAGACTGCATATATTTCGGTTATAGGGAGGTTATAGAGAGGTTATATGGAGGTTACATCAATATTATACTCATGTTACCTCCATATAACATCCCTGTAGCATCTCTATAATTCTCAAACGTATGCAGCCCTGCGTACTTGTTACGTACGCAAATTTTTTCTTTAAGGAGAAGGCGCGAGGGGGCCGGACCCTAAAAAAAAATCCCAACTTTCCTGATTATAATAATTAAAATAATACTATAGACAATTTTTAAAAAGATTTGAAAGATTAATAATTTTAGGTTTATTTAGTTTTAAATTATATAATTAATTATGAAAATATTAATCATGGTTAAAATTTTTACATAAATAATTAAATGAAATATGATCAAATTGTAATAGTTTTGAAAAATAATGTTGAAAATTTTGAATGTGGAGATATGTCCCCTAATTATAAATATATAAAATTAACATAAAATATGTGAGGTGAGTTAGCTATTAATATTTTTAGAGAAGCCTATATAAAAAAATAGGGAAGTTAATATGCCTAGCACATATTTCTTATGCATATAGGTGTTTTAGTATTTTATTATTATACATGAAAAAATATTTTTTTAATTTTTTTCTTTACCTAAATATGTTAATAATGTGTACCCTACTTTTTTTTTTCTATCTTAATATCATAGCCTCCACGGTCTTGCCATTGAGAGATTATAATATATAGAGTTTGTGCGTGCAGATTTGTAGTAATTTGATAATATTATGACGATATTACGATATTATAGTATTGTAATATTACCATAATAATATTAAAATATCATCAAATCTGCATATATCTCATTTGCACGCAATAAATTTTCCTATCATTTCACTTTGCCTTAACTAAGAAATCCTTTCAATGACATAATTGTTTGCTTGCATTGAAATTTGGAGTAATGGGTTGTTGGTTTTCATTCTTGATTTATTTAGTTCATCTTTTGCATTACTTGTTTAAATCAATATTATCTCAAACTTGTATAGAATAATTAAAATATGCCAAAATTAGTTTCATAACCCAAAGCTAATATTTTGTTGTCCATGTTTTTGTGCTTATATGAAAAAAACTTGATAAAAATGTGTTATCATGATTCAATTGACACAATCTTGTTAGCTCATGGTTATCCAATGTTGTCGTCATATAAGTAATTAACATATTTTTATTGTTTGACACGAATATCGAGGTAATTTTTTTAGCAAGAAACATTCAAACTTCAATTGAGAGTCATCCAGAGCTTCGATTTCAGCAAACTTATAGTCAAAGTAACCAGCTTGATGAGACTGGTCAATTGTTATCAAAATTAGTACAATCTGAGTCAAATCAAGCTCAAATCAAGTCATTAAACTGGTATATGAATTTTTTCAAACATATTTAGAATGTTAAACAAATGTCGAATCTAACAAATATATTCAAATTGAGCATCTTGACAAGATGAATCCAACTAGCCTAAGATTGTTCAATTTCGACATTATTATGGCCTAAAACTCCATATGATTGAATAAAGCTCTCCAGACTGTTTGATCAAAGTGATTCATATTTCTCCATTAATTGCACCCATAACAATATAAATAAAGTCTCACCCCTCTCATAATGGGGAGATAGCTTAAGGCTTGAGAAATAACTTGAAGCTTTGAAAAAGAAATAAAGTCTAGCATTATTATCGCCACCGTCAATCATCGCAAACTGTCATTTAACCACCGTTGATTGCCATTGATCCTCGTTGACCACTGTTGACCATCATTGAACGTCATCGATCACTATTGACCGTCGTTGACCGCAGCCAATGTCGTCGATCATAATTAACAGTCGTCGATCATCATTGACCACCGTTGAACGTCATCAATCACAATCGACTGTCACCTGTAAGCCTAAATCGAACTCCACCGGCCGCTGCCCACTTTCACAATAAGTTAATTCGTACGTTGAAGCTGTAATTTGGAAGACTCTGTAATATTTTTTTGTCTGTGGGACAAAGAGTCTTTGTAATCATCAACTTATAGTAATTTTTTTTTTAATTGAGTCAGACCCTATGGTTTTTTTTTTTTTTCTTTACAGGTTTTCCATATAAAAACTTAATGTGTCACTATTGCTTGTTTTCCACCTGCAACGCTAAGAAAATGATCCATTATTCTACTGTTGTGAATATTCTAGCACACATTACAACTAATGACATTTTCATCAATATTATGTTTAAATGTTTTTCCCCTAACATACTTTGGATCGAATGTTATTCATTGAGTCGTCGGACATGCAATAATAAATCTCTTAGTAAAATTAACAATAATCAATTTATTAATTGTTGAAAATTTTAAGGCAGAGAACCGTAAGAATCGACACCAATAAGAAAGAAACACAGAAATTTAATGAGGTTCGACAAAAATGCCTACGTCATTGGGAGTATAACGACAACTTTCCTTTCAATTCAAAAAAAGAGTACAAGATCATCTTAGGGTTACGATACAATATATATATATATATATATATATATAATATATAACCCTTGTGTACAATATGTAATTATAAAATTACCCCTGTAGCGTACCGCGGAGGTGTTGTCCCCTGCACCCCCAACTCACGTAATGAAACTCCCCCAATTGGATAAATGTTTTCGCTACACTCCACTCTGACAGCTCGCTCTGTTCTGCTCCAATATATGTCCCTTATCTGGTATATGAGTCATACCTAACAAATTTCCACATTTACGAATATCCAACCCTTTAGGAGAAAGATACTTAGAAGTTTCATATGCACCAAAGTGGGTTTGGCCACCATGCTTCTCTAGCAAATGTGAATATTCAACAAGTCCAAGCAATGCAAGAACTTGTTGATAGTAATTGGCTTGGTCAACATATCAGTTGCATTCTCATTAATATGAATTTTCTGCGACAGTATCTCACCAGAAGCAATCAATTCTCTGATCTTGTGATATCTAACATCAATATGCTTAGTTCTCGCATGGTACAACTGGTTCTTAGCCAGATAAATAGCACTTTGACTATCATAATGCAATTGAACTCCACCTTGCTCAACAACCAGTTTCTTTACTAACCTAGTAAGCCATAAGGCTTCTTTAGCAGCTTCATCTACTATCATGTACTCAACTTCAGTTGTAGATAATGCCACAATAGACTGAACAGTTGATTTCCAACATATAAGCCCTCCACCAAGAGTAAAAACATACCTAGTTGTAAAACCTTTTGTCATCTAAACCTCCTACATAGTCTAAATCCATGTATCTCACAACTGAAGGATCATTCTGCTAACTGCTAAAAATAATTCTATGTCCTACAGTACCCTTCAGATACCTAAAAATTCACTTGATTGCTTCCCAATGTCACCTTCCAGGTTTAGACATGTATTTACATACTTAACTAACAACATGAGTTAAATCAAGGCGTGTGCATATCATTGCATACATCAAATAGCCAACTGCACTGGCATATGAAACTTTTATCATGTCTTCAATTTCTCAATTTGTCTTCGGACACTGTTCTGAAGAAAACTTAAAATGATTTGTCAATGGAGTGCTCACAGGCTTTGCTTTCCTCATCTCAAACTTGTCTAACACTTTCTCAACATAACCTCATTGAGATAAACATAATCATCTTGAGCATCTATCTTGATAAATCTTCATTCCAATAATCTTCTTTGTAGGACCCAAGTCTTTCATGTCAAATTTCTGACTCAATAAAGCTTTTAAACTAAGGACATCATGCATATACTTAACAACAATCAGGATATCGTTAACATACAGTAACAGAAAAATAATAGAACCATCACCAAGGCTATTAACATAAACACAACAATCATACTCACATCGTTTGTAGCCAATCTGAATCATGTAGGAGTCAAACCGCTTGTACCATTGTCTTTGAGCTGTTTCAACCATACAACGATTTCTTTAATCAACAAATTGATTGTTTTTGTCCAAATTAAGTGAACCCTTCTAGAAGCTTCATATAAAAATGCTCCTCCAGATCACCATGCAAGGATGTAGTTTTGACATCCATCAGCTCCAGATACAAATCCCAAATAGCTAATGCAAACACTGCTATGATTGAAGTATGTCTGACCACAGGAGAAAATATTTCATCATAATTTATCCCCTTTTGATGTGAAAACTCCTTTGCTACAAATCGAGCCTTGAACTTTTCCCCTTCTTTTTCTGATACTGTTGTTTTCCTTTTGTACACCCATTTGCACCCAATAACCTTCTTTCTCTCAAGAAGCTGAACTAGCTCCCATGTGTGATTTTTCTGCAAAGACTCCATCTCTGCAACCATTACACCCATCCATTTCTCTTTCTCCCGACTAGTGATAGCTCATTTAAAGGTGTTTGAATCATCACTACTGATGAAAATTGCACAAGAGATAAGTCTTCTTAACCCAATATGCTTGGAGGTCTTATATTGGCGTGTTTCTATCTATCTCTAGCTAGATTGTAATTTCGGTAGTCATTTATATTAGAATCACCAGGTGTTTAATTTAAACTTTCAACTTTCTCAGTTATTTCTAGATGTTGTTCTAAATCCGTATGCACTGTATTTAAACTGGAACCAT